CGAGAAGCGGCGCGAGCAAGGGATGTGCTGGCCGCGGCTTCCAGCCGCCCCCATTGGCCCGGGACAGCGAACTGCAGCCAGTTGGGGCTGCGATCGGCCGAACCTGCTGCGTCAGCAGGTAAATAAACTGGCCCGGCCCGCCAGGGTGCTTACCCTGGCGAGCCGCGTGCCAAACGTTGCCGACCCCCGGAGTACACTATAATATGACTGCTATATATGCATATGTTGACACACACAGAATAGATTTGTATTGGTTTGAAAAAAAAAAAATCACCTTTTAATGACCATTCATTACGTAGGATCAAATAATTTTCCCATTGTGGTCAATGGGAAAACTATCACAGTGACTTTAATGGAACAAGGTTTTGGCCCTTAATGAATATTTGATGATGGCTTCTGTCTTAATAAACATGCACCATTCCATTAACAGTTTTGCTGATAAACTGTTGGCACCATATGGCCCATAATTATAATTCACCAGGCACTACATACTATTTTATATAATTTTCAGTAGTTCTTTGTACACACTGCCAGCTGCCCAGCACTTCTGTACACAGGATTGTAATTTACAAATGACTGTAGTTCCCTCTTCAGTTACAAAACACACTAGATCTAATTCTCTTCTCACTTACACTGATCTTTACTCTGGTGTAGCTCCATTTACTTTAGTGGAGTTACTCCTGATTTACAATGATGTAAGTGAGACTGGATTTTGTCTGAAGCCTGTGGCAGAATACGTTCCTCTGTTTTTCAGCTCAGCTGAAGTGTTAGCTGAATGGCCCCTTTTAAAGCATCAAGTGAAAACAACATATTGTACACACACAGTCCATCTTACCAATATCTTTGATAAATGTAACTACAGCCGCATTTACTTCAGGAATCATTTCCATATTGAAGTCATTGTCATCTTCTGATAAGCCACTGATGTTCTCCACCAGCATAGTTAACATGCATTGTTTTGTAGTCTCTTGTATATTTTCAAGCACAACTAGAGATGAAGTCATTTGTGGGAGTTCTTGGATATTCTCCACTTGCCATGGTTTCACATGGAGTGCAATTTTCTTTACTACATGATCCTTTTTCTTTAAGACTTCTTGTGCATCTAGTTTCACAGAAACACAAATAAATGGAGATCTCTGTTATATACCTGTAGTTACTCAGAATGGATCAATATGTTAAATTCTATATTAAGTTCTGATATATTTTAAAATCTTCTCTCAAGTGGAGTCTTACTTTCTTTTGTTATGGAAAAGATTAAAACAAGTCATGTGGTCAAAAGTTATGATCAAGTTAAAAGTTATTCTACAGCCCCATAAAGGGACATCCAGAGTAGCCCAGTCTCCTTTTAAAAAAATGCAGTTACCCCTAGTACTAAATGTTACTAGTGCCAATTAGTCCTTAAGTACCAAATACTGTTCTCTAGATTAGATTTGAAATGACAACATTCAGTGAGGGCTAATGAAGTGGATTAATTTATTGCTGAAATATATTAATTTATTTACAATATATGTATTTAAGACCCTATGGAGCAAAGTTACCACAGGCACAATTAAAGTTAAGCAGGTTATTCAGGCTGGGATTTTTCAAATGGAGTTAGGTGCCCAAATCCCTTTGGAGTTTTAATAGGAAATGTGTCCCTAATTTCCCTAGGCTCCTTTGAGAAAACTTGCTGAAGTGCTTTGCTAGATCTGGACTTGAAGTTGACAGTGCCACACTTAAATATCACACTTGTGTCTGAAATGTTCTTCACCATTATTTTTACAACACCTAAAATGACTATTAGTAAGACTAGAGAAAACATATTTTTCTATTTTTTCAGTCTATTTGACAGCACTTTGTGTATATCAGTTTTGCCATTTCCCCTGCATAGCAGCCAGTTTATCCCGTTCATTTGGATCCCACAGCAACAAGCAGAGAAAAGCATTTTAGAACATATGGAAATGTGACGGTAAAACCATGGAAAAGGTCAGGGGAAATTGGGGGGCAAGTGTAAAACCTGAGGCTATTTTAAACTCATTTTTTGAAATTGGTTCGATGGTGCCCTATTAACCTGCCACTGAACTATGTAGTCAAGCAAATATTATCCAATACAATTGTTCTTCATGGCTGTAGGACTATGCCACATAAGGCTTCACTCACTGAAGCCTTACTATAAAGACAAACACACACACACATTCCTGACCTGCCAGCCACAGGGCCCCTTATAGCACTCTCTTATCTCTACTTGGTCAGTTCTCTTCTTGTCTCTTGGTTTAAGTATTAGAATTTATTTCTCTGTTGCTTCCCTAATTACCATCTAATGATAAATCGTGTGGGGGTGAAGGGTGGGCAGTACTTGAGGCCAGGCCTGCTGACGGGGGGAGGGTGGGGTGGGGCAAAGGGGTCAACTGCCCAGGTGCCTGGCAATTTAAAAGGGCCCGGGCAGATGGGATAGATACATTTTTTTTAATAAAATTAAGATTTTTAAAAAAAAAAGGAAAGAAATCCCGTTTCCTGCTGCTGCTCTGTACAGAGCGCCGTCCCTCATTGTGACAGTAACAGTTTGCCAGAGGGCTGCTTCATCCTGCTGGTCTGGCAGAGCACCAGCAACCGCAGTCCGAATAAGCGTGTGACATCTCAACTGAAATGTGGAGTGTGGTATTTCAAATCAGTCCTTACTGTTCATGATGGAGCAAAAACCTAAGTCCGGAGCTCAGAAACTGAGAGGAAAACAAGACAAAGAAGCCCAACTTGAAAAAAGTAAGAAGGGTAGTTGTATCGTAAACCTCAGCCACACCTTTCTAGGGGGGCCCAGAATTGCTGTCGGTGGGCCTGCTTGAGACTGTATGGAGCCTCACAAGAGGTGAATGTGTGAGCCAACTCAGCCTGGGAGGGCCACTGTCAGGCAACAAGCAGCTAGAGTGTGATCCAAAAGGAAGACAGAGGAACAATGCACCACATGTCTCAGTTTGACGAAGATTCTAGGGGAAAAAAATCGGAAAAGCTCCCCTGAATACTGTCATTATAGTAAGGGAAAAGTAGATCTTCAATTTTAAAGTTGTAGGTGAGAAACCTGAGATATGCTAGAAGTCTGTTTTCCACAAAAGACCCGTGAGTTTCAACAGACCTCGTCTTCTCCACCCAGCTCAGTGATTCTGCAGAAAAACAATTTCAAGGAGGCACACAGATGCCAGCCATGGAGATTTATGTACTTTATCTTAATCAGTCTCTCTGCCCTATGCAGCAACTTGTCTTAAACAGGAGAGTCAAACAAGGAGTTAGGAGATTCTAGTTTCTCTTGGAAGCTACATAGTATAGATGTTTTTGGTTTTCAGGTTCAAGGCCCCCAGTTTAGGAAGGTAAATAAAGACCTTTCTGAATGGGTGCCTAATTGCAGAAGAGGAGAAACAGACAAGAAGGTAATTTATTTGCTAATTGCAGACGAGGATGTAATTTACTTGCCTAGGATGGTACTTTGTTCCAAAACTCTTTTGCTTTACTTTTTAATGCCGTTGAGATTCCGTATTATCAGGTGAATAACTAGCTACCACATCAGTACAAATCTAACCTAACCTGAAGAAAAGCCATCTGAATCTTATTTATGACTATAACCCCTTTCATCTTCCTTATCCCTGCTGCCCTGTACCTTGTGTCCAGAATTTCCAGCAACTCCTCAGCCAACTGGTAAAGTTTTCCCCTGCACATGGTGCCATGGCAGACTGAGGATAGTATGAAGAATTTTGACAAACAGGAGTAGTGTTTCTCTGGTTTTCACAATGGCATGAAACTTACTGCCTTCTTTTCCCAACTTCCAAAACCTAAACAAAATGGGACTTGCGTGGCGCAAAAGGCCAATGAGAGAATTTACCTCCTATCTGCAGCCAGTATGTAGGGCAGTTCCCCACTTGCTACTTTAGCCCCTGAACAGGCTGCCCTGCCATGCACCTTACACAGTGGTTTCCATATATGAGATCTACATGGATCCAGTGATTTCTCCCTAGACCTATCCCAGTATTGTTTCCCTGTACTAGTGTATTCATAGCTGGCATGACACCCACATCTCCAGTGCACACTGGGTACAGGTACAGTTATTCTGTTCACACCCAGTCATCCAGGAATAACATGTGTCGTCAGATGTTTGGCTGCGTGTGTGTTCTCCCTGTGTGCTGTCCCAGCTCTGCGCAGATAGCTAGCACAGCAGATCCCTAAGCGAATTGCCCAATGACCACAAAATCTGTTAAAGTGCGAAGGTGCCCAGCCAGGTTTATTGTGGATGAAGCAAGGTAATAGCACCTGGCAGACTCTATGAGGATACTAAGACATGTATGCCCGTGACAATGGACACAGCTCAGTCAGTGGTGGGACTTTCCACTGCTCCCTAGGCTGGCCAAAGACACTCCCTCTGAGATATATCTTTATACACAGATAGCAACAAATTACGTATCACCCCTCTGACATAGTTAGATGCCACCCTCTGATGTGGCTAACCACCACCCATTACCTTGTACATAATGGTTCAATCAAAAAATTTCTATCCATCATGCTGTCATCCTGACCTTATTTTTAGGATGGGTCACTGTGTTTCTGTTACCTTTGGGGAATGTGCTGGTATCAAGGTGTTCTGGTACCACCTTTCTGGAATGTGTTTGTGTATATATTCTTATGCCTAGCACTACTTAGGAATTTGTGTTTCTGCAATATCAGCCCTATTCTTGCCAGATTCTGTAAAGCAGAGCCTGCCTCTTGCTCACAACTTAACTTTGCTTTATATTAGCAAGTTTTGACCATTACTTTAGTTCAGGCCTCAGGCCTCTGATACAAGGGCTTATGTCTCAGGCTCTCTTCCTACTACAACATGAAATTTCAAAGACCCATTACCAAAGAGGGCATATTTTTGAGAAGTATGTCTATATCATACCTTCAGCATTTTCAAAGGTGATGATTATTTGTTGATTATTTCTGACGCAGGATTTGATGGGTCCCCCACCTGACCGCATTTTATTTTCAAAGTACATGCTCACAAGGTCATCATCAATTTCCTCCCCTGGGGCAGTGATGATTACTACAGTGGATTGCTCAGAGGATGTCGTCTCTTTTCCCAAATTCCCTGAAGATGAAATCACAGATGAGAAATCTGACTGGTTGAACAAAATTAAAAAGGAAAAATTATCTTTTTATCTTTCTCAGCATTAATATCAAGCTTATCAGCACAAAAATAATGATAGAAGAAAGAGAAATAAAAAGCTATTTCTAAAATGACTTTACTTAAATTTGTTTCACAAAATTCTTTAAAAAAGCCAAATAAACTGAATGTATGATAGTGAAAAGTTGTGGATCCACAGTCCTGGAGACAATGTCTCCTCCACAAAACCAGAACAGCAGAGGAATGGCTGTGCAAACTTCTCCACAATGCCCAGTTTGGCTCATCCATGACAAAGAGGACCACCTGTAACACTTTGATTACACATTTTCCTCTTACGTTTCCCACTGTTGTCACCACCAGTGCAGTTCTACCAGTGCCAGCAACGATGGGACCTCTAACATAAACAGGGTATTGGTGTTTTAAACCACCATGACGTCTACACCCATTTAGAGCAGTGTCGGATAACAATGTTTGTGCCACTGCTGACAGTGGTGGAGATGCAGTGTCAATGGAAACAATGGGAAATTTGTGTAGACACAGCCAACAGTGAGAGAGGAAGTCAGTATTCCGGTTCATTTAATACTTGGCCTCTTCCGAGATGGCCACTGAGGCTAGTGGTTCTGTGCTGTTGATACTTATGTGGCAAACTGGGAAAATGTCTGGATTATTTCTTGCATGCAGTGTTAGCTGTAGCCATATTCATCCCAGGATATTAGAGAGCCAAGGTGGGTGAGATAGTATCTTTTATTGGACCAAATTCTGTAGACAAGAGAGACAAGCTGTAATGCTGAGAGTTCCTTTCCCAGACCTGAAGTCCTCTGCGTGGCTTGAAAGCGTGTCTCTCTCACCAACAGAAGTTGGTCCAATAAAAAAAGATTACCTCACCCGCCTTGTTTCTCTGGATTATTTTTTAGCAATATTTTGTAGGACTTGGTTTCCCTTTTCAATTTTATATTGCTGCGTGACTGAATGCATAGAGTTCTTTTACAGTCTCCTTTGATGTATTTTGTTAAGGAACCCAAGAAAGGTAAAACAATGATATAGAGAAGTCAGCCTCATTTAAGGATCTTCAAAGGAATTAAGATAACAATGGCGGGGCCATCAATTGGTAAGTGAGCTCACCTGATTCCCTACAGGCTAAGACTGGAAACAAAGAAGACCAATCCCCTCAAAGCCCCTTGCAGAAAGTGATATGGGAGGTGGTCAGAGAGGTTAGCAGGATGTGTCAGTGAAAAGGCTGACAGGCTGACTGAGGCCTGCGATACACTACAGACTTAGGTCAATGCAAGGTAGCTTACGTTGACCTAATTATGTCAGTGTCTACATTAAAATGCTGCTTCTGCCGAAGTAAGTCCCATGCTACACCGACATAATTCCACCTTCACAAGAGGGATAGTGCTTATGTTGATGTAGTTAGGGCGATGCAGTGTTTGTTTACTGTGTACTTATGTCATCTGTTGACTGTCAGCCCCGAGTGTGGCTGATGGCTGACAGCTGGAGCTCCCCACTTCCCCCCGGGGCACTGGTACACAGCTGGCCTCCTGCCCCTGGGTGCTGACAGCCTGAGCTGTCATCCGGATGCAGGGCTCACCCAGCACCTGGCTGACAACTCAAGCTGTCAGTGCCAGGGGCCCAACTGTGACCTCATGCCTGGCTGCCAGCTCTAGCTGTCAGCCCTGGAGCGGCTGTCAGCGGTGGGACAGCAAGAGCAGCTGTCAGCCCCATGCAGGGCTGCCAGGCTCCAGCTGTCAGTGTCCCACAATGCCCCATTTCAGTTGGTGGAAGCGCTCCCGGTGAGGATGTGCACCACTGACAGAAAGAGCAAGTGTGGACGTGAACCATCGCTTTATTTACTGCGGTGGCTGTATGTCGACTTAAGTGGACTTAATTTTGTAGTCTAGTCAAACCCTGAGGCAGGCTGCAAGCGGCAAAGGCTGGTTCTCCCAACTCAGAGATGGGGAATAAACCAGACCTGCCTCAGCTGTGGAAAGAGAGGTTAATCTAACATAAGGGAATATGCATGCAGTAGTCCTTGTTGCTTTTAAATCCACTTTTTAAAGTGCTGTGTACCTCTGGGCAAAAATAAATCATGCTTTGTTCTGAAGAAGTGGTTTCTGTCTCTCTGCAAATGTATGCTGTCACAGGCTCCCAAAGACAAAGGCTTGCAGGGTCCAATCCCAGTTGGGCCCGCTGCATTAGTCATGGTTGATACCAGGGGGCTGTAACCCAGGCTCTGGTCTGAGAGTGAGCAAACTGTTCAATTCCACCCTAGGAGATGTGAAGGCTCAATGCTTGACACCTGTGGGGTATAGTTAGAGAGATCCCAAAAAGAGAGAGAGAGTGGGCAGGCTCCCCAAGGACAGTGGCAACTTACAAAAGACACAGTCTGTATTTTTTAGACTCGTGTAATTAAGTCTACTTTGCATTAAACAAACACCACAAACCATTTAATTTTCCATGAAGCTGTTATAGTTTAAATTTCCAGGAAAACCATCAATTAATGCAAGAGTAGAATTTGTGATTGTCCTATTTAACAAACTGTATACATACCTGTCCTCTTTTCCTGCTCTACAGACACAGAATTCCCATCATCAGAGCAGACTGGAAAAGATACATGGCATTCATTAAGTGAAAAAAAAAAATCCCATGAAGCTAAATAAACGTGATTGCTTGGTGCTTATTGCAGTTGAAGGAACACTGTCACAGTTTTTAGAGCTCAGAATTAATCTAGTTTGATTGTTGTCTCCTTTGACAGCAGTTACCTTAGAATTACACCTTGTGATATATCTTTTTATTTCAAACCAAGCATTATGTCACTCAAAAATAACACAACCTCAAAAATTATGATGCATCATATAAAAACAAACTAGTGTGCAGACAGCCTGTTAGACTGTATCCATCCACTCTGTCAGAAACATGGCTAAGAGCCTTTGCAATCCGTTACAGCACTTTAAAGTAAACTCTGGCTCTTGCGAAATGGATGCTGTTGAACAAGAGATCTGTGGGACAGAATCTTTTTGTTGTTAGAAGCATTACTAAGGGCTCCTGTTCCTGCCTGGGGCCCAGGGCATTACCGCAATACAAATAAATAATGGTAACACGGAAGGGAGAAGGTAAATGACAAAAGCTGCCAAACTGCATTTATGGCCTGAAACTTTGCCCCTTTCTCACATGTGCAAGTAAGGATTACTCAAGTAAGTACTTATCATGTAGGGGTATGCAGGAGGCTGACTAATAAGAAGGGAGAGTCTTACCCTTCTCTTAGCTAAAAATCTTGCAACAAAAACTGCACACCAGATATTTCTCCAATCCTGTAGCACAAGGGGCTCTTTAATTTTCATTCAATTACTGGAGATTAGTTAAGCTTTGTTTTATCAAATGGGAGGGTTATTTTTAAAGACCTCAATATGGAGTAAAGAAAAGTTGGTGTGGAATTACCTTTCTAATTAGGCCAAGAAAATATGCAGATATGCACAGGGTTGAAAGAATCCTAAAAGCCAAAAGGTTTAAACAAATATTTCTGATGATTATACAAGTCTTTAAGAGAGATTCCACCCCACAATCTGGCCGTGAAATGTTGCTGTGGTGACATGTAGGAGCCACCAACAGCTCACAAAGGGCTGAAGGGAGTTCCATATGTATGACTTCACATTGAGAGTCTAGGCACATGTACATTGATTACTGAAATACTAGCTCATATTGAGAACAAAGCGATCATCATCCATTGATAGTTTTCAATGAGCAATTCTTTCAATAGACCAGGGATCCTTTATGCATAGATTTGTTTCCTCTGTGACTCACAGTGAATCAGGTGTTGATGGGTGGAACTGACAAAGCAAACATCAGTTTTAAAAATAGACCATGGAGCACAGATACTAGGGTTTAGCATGAGTTGCAGGTTAATTTTATGGCTAAACAATGTTGACAGTGTCCCTTTAAAGTGCCGCTGCTTACATTATCTTTCATCAAGCCTCTATAAAAATAAATTCAACTTTTGAACTGCATTAACACTTTTGATACTCAAGTATCAGAGGGGTAGCCGTGTTAGTCTGAATCTGTAAAAAGCAACAGAGGGTCCTGTGGCACCTTTAAGACTAACAGAAGTATTGGGAGCATAAGCTTTCGTGGGTAAGAACTTCACTTGCATCTGAAGAAGTGAGGTTCTTACCCACGAAAGCTTATGCTCCCAATACTTCTGGTAGTCTTAAAGGTGCCACAGAACCCTCTGTTACTTTTGATACTGTTTCTCCAGGGCAACTGTTGGGCTGCCAATGTTCCACTGATGTTTCACAGATGAGGACTGAGTGTTAATCACATTGAGTAGCACAGCTGGAGCCTGAGAGCACCTGGAACGTTCAGCAGCAATCCCTGTATGTAGTGTAGTTGTAGCCATGTTGGTCCCAGGATATTAAAGACACAAGGTGGGTGAGGTAATGTCTTTTATTCAACCAATTTCTGTTGGTGAGAGAGACAAGCTTTCAAGCGGCACAGAGCTTCAGGAAGAAGAGCTCAATGTGGTTTGAAAGCTTGTCTCTCTCACCAACAGAAGTCGGTCCAATAAAAGATATTACCACACCCACCTGGTTTCTCAGCTGCAATCAACCAGTTGAGGGAATATGCTATGGCTGCTATAGTTCAGAGCTAGACTAATGATAAAAACTGGAGGAGAAAAATAGCTTTCACAAGAGTAACAAATTTAAAACTTTCTGCAGGAATTAGAGAGGAGGAGCAAAGCATTATAGGTGCTGATCCAGCAAACCAATTAAGCATATGATAAACTTTCAGCACATGAATAATCCCTTTGAAGTCAATAATATTACTCACAGTGCTAAAAGTTAACTATGTACTTAAGTACTTTGCTGGACTGGGACATGACATCAGAGCCTGAGACGAGCCTACAGCAACAGATAATAGAATTCACTGATCATGTCCAAAACACTACTCCCTTCCAAGGGTTTGTCTGCACAGGAACTGGAAAATGTAAATTCCAGCTTGAGAAGACGTACCCACGCTAACTGTGATCGAGCTAGCACACTAAAAATAGAAGTGTATCCACGGTGGCATAGCCGTTTTGGTTATGGTTTTGGATGGCTAGCCCCGCCTGCCATGAGTGGCTACATTTCTGGTTTTAGCACACTAGCTTGATCACTTTCCAGCTGTTGTGTACACATACCCTAAGTTAACTGCCTTTCTGAATAACTACATTCAGTCCGGCTGCAGAAACCAAATCCAGGCAGAAAAAAAAAAATCACATATTAGAATTTCTGCTGAATAAATCTCTACAGAGGATGCAGTTCAGCTTTTCTGATTTTTTCCTTGACTTCAATGGGTTCTACATTGAGCCAAGAATTAGGAGTCATTGTGGAAAGCGTTTTCTCTCCCTTAAAAGTAGTTTTTATCTTCCATACATGAACATTATATACTTCAGATTTGTTTTTTGTTTTGAACAAAACGTTACCTGGTTCTTGGGGTTTGCTTGGTGTCTCGGACTCCTAAAACAAAAAGGACAGTAAGCCAATTAAAAACAGCATGTGACATTCTTGCTATTACTTCAAAACTCTGAACACTGCAGGTTAGGATTCTGTTTCATATTTATTTACCTCTTTAGGACCTGGCACTTCCCCGGACACGTCTTTTTTGGTTGCACCTGTTGTTTCAGGCTGCATGACAACCAGCTTTAATTTTCCTTTCGCTGCCCAGTCAAGCTCATGGATCTTTTTGTCAAGAACTCGCTGCCTCACTAAAGCACAAACAAAGAAAACTATTATAATCTTGGTAGAAGGGATGTTAGTCTATAGGTCTATGCACCATTATGGGCAACATACTCCTCCCTGCTGAGCACTATTAACAAATCATACCACAAACTCCAACAATTAAACAAGAACATTTAAAAAATCACGGCACTAGACTGATGGGCTAAACTTCATTCAATAAAACTGTTCTTCATTACTTCCCATTTCTTTCCCCTTGTTTGCGTGTTGCCTAGTTATGGCTAATTCTGCTCCCATTGACTTCAGGGCAAGGAAGATCATGCTCTTAGGTTGCAGGCAGTTTGGGGAAGGGACCTTGTCACCACACCAGTCTCTAAAGCGCCTAGCACATTGTTGGTGCTATATAAATAAGAGACTAAATAATTAATAATACATACCCTCGCAATACAAAACGAATAAAACATTAGTTTCCTCGCAATTTCCTTCCAATTGTTCCATTAGTAATAGTGGGGTGAGTAGAGGCATGGAACTGGGAGGGTGTTTGGTCCCCTAAACCCATAGATTTGAGGATCTTGAGGAATCTGCGGGAACATGGGGCTTCTACACAGCTCCCTGGGTTACCCCTTCCCCCATAGCAGCATGGTCCCCACTGGGTGATGCTCCAGAGCCCTCCTTTGGAGGGGTGCTGAATAAATATACGTGAGGAGTTATTCATCTTAACCAGCAGTAACTTCTGAGTAGATTTCTGACCTTAGGGGGCTGCAGGAAGTAGGGAATGAGGAAGCATAAAGTGTCAGAAAAGTGTTTTATTTGCAAGAGGGCAGAGAAGAGGGAAATATATATAAGCCTGTTATTTGTATTACAGTAGCACCAGAAACACCAGTTAAATCAGAGTGCTTCACAAACACTGCAGCAAATGATCTACTCATGTGAATAAGGGTAATGTCTACACTACGAAATTAGGTCGATTTAACAGAAGTCGATTTTTTAGAAATCAATTTGATACAGTCGATTGTGTGTGTCCCCACTAAGCGCATTAAGTTGGTGGTGTGCATGCACAGTACCGAGGCTAGCATCGACTTTCGGAGCATTGCACTGTGGTAGCTATACCACAGTTCCCGCAGTCTCCGCCGCCCATTGGAATTCTGGGTTGATCTCCCAATGCCTGATGGGGCAAAAACATTGTCGTGGGTGGTTCTGGGTACACGTCGTCAGGCCCCCTCCCTCCCTCCCTCCGTGAAAGCAATGGCAAAAAATCGTTTCTCTCTTTTCACGGGTTACCCGTGCAGATGACATACCATGGCAAGCATGGACCCCGCTCAGCTCAGTCACCATATGTCTCCTGGGTGCTGCTGGCAGACACGGTACTGAAGTGCTACACAGCAGCATCCCCTTGCCTTGCGGACAGCAGACGGTGCAATCCGACTGCTAGCCATCATTGTCCAGTGGGTGCTCCTGGACGACCTCGGTTAGGTTGGTCGGGGGCACCTGGGCACACATGGGTGCTTCTGGCCGGCCTCGGTGAGGTCGGTCGCAGGCGCCTGGACAAAAATGGGAATGACTCCAGGTCATTCTTGTCTTTAAGTTTCATCTAATGGAGATTCAGTCCTGCCTGGAATATCATGCCAGCTGGAGGCTTCTGCCTCAGCCTGTTCTCCCAGTCGGCAGTACCGCACGGTCCCACCTACCCCAGCCTACCCTTTGCTCCCATGGCTCATGAAGCCTGAACAGTAGTAAGAAGCAGTTCAACTATAGGCTGAGCAAGTGCATAATGGTGGTAGAATGTGTCTTTGGACATTTAAAAGCTCACTGGCGCAGTTTACTGACTCGGTTAGACCTCAGCGAAACCAACATTCCCATTGTTATTACTGCTTCCTGTGTGCTCCACAATATCTGTGAGAGTAAGGGGGAGATGTTTATGGCGGGGTGGGAGGTTGAGGCAAAGCGCCTGGCCGCTGATTACACGCAGCCAGACACCAGGGCAGTTAGAAGCGCACAGCAGGGTGCGCCATATATTAGAGAAGCTTTGAAAACCAGTTTCATGACTGTCCAGGCTATGGTGTGAAAGTTCTGTTTGTTTCTCCTTGATGAAAATCCACCCCCTTAGTTCACTCTACTTCCCTGTAAGCCAACCGCCCTCCCCTCCCCTCTTTGATCTCCGCTTGCAGAGGCAATGAAGTCATTGTTGTTTCAAATTCAGGCATTCTTTATTAATTCATCACACAAATGGGGGGGGAATAACTGCCAAGGTAGCCCGGGAGGGGTGGAGAAAGAGGGAAGCACAGGGATGGGGTAGTTGTAGGGGCACCCCATAGAATGGCATGCAGCTCATCATAGAAGCGGCATGTCTGGGGCGCTGACCTGGAGCGGCCATTTGCCTCTCTGGTAGGCTTCACGCGGCACTGCTGCGGGTCCCTGTTATAACCTCTGTCCTTCATGCCCTTGGAGATTTTTTTCAAATATTCTGGCATTTCGTCTTTTGGAACGGAGTTTGAATAGCACAGATTCATCTCCCCACACAGCGATCAGATGCGGTACCTCCCGTTCAGTCCGTGCTGGAGCTCTTTTGCAATTCTGGGACTACATGGTCACCGGTGCTGATCAGCTTGCTACGCTGGCCAAACAGGAAATGAAATTCAAAAGTTCGTGAGGCTTTTCCTGTGTACCTGACCAGTGCATCTGTGTTAAGAGTGCTGTGCAGAGCGGTCACAATGGAGCACTCTGGGATAGTTCCCGGAGGCCAATACCATCGAATTACATCCACACTACCCCAAATTCGACCCAGCAGGGTTGATTTCAGCACTAATCCCCTTGTCGGGGAGTAGTACAAAAATCGATTTTAAGAGCCCTTTAAGTCGACAAAAATGGCTTCGTCATGTGGATGGGTGCAGGGTTAACATTGATCTAAAGCTGCTAAATTCGACCTAAGCTCGTAGCGTAGACCAGGGCTAAGAGTCTGCACTGTCAGGGCCTATGGCTGTAACTTCTTCAGTGCAAGGACTATCTCTTACTATGTGTTCATAAATCATTCAGTGTAACTGGACCCCAATGCAACTGGTGTGTCTGCGCACTTTTGTAATACTAATAGGATTACTCACGTGTGTAAAGTTAAGCATGAGCATAAATATTTAGAGGTTTGGGGCATTAGGTGGATCTGGTCAATGCATTACGGGGGGAACCCATCACAGAGAATTTCCGCTGTGCATAGGAACGTAAGTATCATGGCATCGCTCAGAGCACATTAAAGGATTAATCCATCCTTGATACTGGATACAGAGTGTGCCATGAAACCAGAACTCATTTACTTCCTAGTACAGTGTTTTTGCACAACTGGCTCCATCTAGCAATTGCTTTTTTTTTTTTTTAAAGATGTGTTCCAAGTAAAAGATATATATGTGGCAGGATTGTGGTAGGGACAAATGAAAGGTCTTAATCAAAAAAATACACAAATATGCACAGCCTTCTGGGATGACGTTCAAAAATTACAAAAGAACACAAGAAATGAACATCAGAAAGTCTGAGATCTACTCAATCTGATGTGCATAGGAAAGGAAGAATGGGCATATAGATGATACCCTCTCTCCATTCAGGAAATACGGCCCAACATTAGCAGATGTAAATTCTGTAGAGAAAAAGTTTGTAATAAATAATCTCGTATTACTGGACATTAACATAGCACTTTCCTCTCAAGTGCTTTACAGAGTTAGTGACAGAGACAATCTGGCCCAAACATGGCTATGCGGGGGAGTGTGGGAATTATAAGGTTTACTCCACACTTGTATGCAACCTGTCCAGTTCCCAAGTCAAGCATGTGGAGGCCAATACAACCTCCTGCTTGTCAGCAACTAGGTGCAGAATGGTGGAGACAGGTACAGATGGGAGGCAGAACTGTGGCGCCAACCCTCACGAAGCTTCGACAAGCAGAGCTGAGCTGACAAGAGGGAAGTAAGTTCTGCCCTGTAAAAGGCTGCAGTAACTTCCCTTATCCTCCAGATCATAATTTCTTCCCAAGACTCCTCATGGGGCAATGTGCTTACACGCTGCCCCTTACTCAGGGCAGGAGCAAAGGCTCCATCTACCCCTTGTATATATGCAAGAAACATTTCACCCAGCACTGAAATGCAGCCACCTCAGGTGTGATACACAGGAACTGTTTAATAACACACAGCCACACGACACAAGCGTTGCTGGGACCCCGCTGACTTCAAAATCATATTTCTGTCTGAACTCCCCTCCCCCGCATAGTTACAAGAACAAAAGATTGGGGGAGGGGGAATTGTCCTCTTTCCCCCCAGTTTGCTCAACTTCTGCAACATTGTGTAGAATCGTTTTCACTGTTTCCTCTGCACAGTCAGTCAGTTTCCCTTGTTCAGGGTGGTATCTCACACCAGAACAGGAGAGAGAAAAATATTTGAAAAAATATATATTTTTTTTAAATACCAGTGGCACAAAAATTGGCAGGGGCAGGCGCAATACAATAACTGGCTTTTCAAAAGTGACTAGACTTCATACTGATGGTATCTTTTTAAGGACCGGAAGAGAGGAATAGCCTAGTTAATTGAAACAGGACCTTCTGACACATACTCTCTTAGAATACATTTATTTCCAGGGGCAGCAGGGAGGGGGAGCTTGCAGGAGCTGTAGCCTCCCTAAAATTTGCCTTGGCCCCCCCATAGCCACCCCTTCCAGCGCAAAGGTCGCCCTTACTACTGCAGTTCTGTGCTGCTGCTGGTGGTGATGCTATCCTTAGAGCTGGGTGCCAAGGCAGCAGCCACTGCACTTTCACCACCCAGCTGTGAAAGCAGCGTGGCCAGCAGCAGCAAAGAAGGAGGCCATATGAGCACAGGGAAGGGCAGAACATGGAAATAACAAAGGTGGAGAGGGAGCATCCAGGGAGAGAGATGGGGAGGAGCGTGCACAAGAGTGGGGGTTCAGAGGCAGGGGGAGGTGGGGCTTGGTTAGGGGAGGGGGTCACAGAACAGGGGAAGGGGGACAGACATAGGGGAGAGGGATCACTCATGGATGGGGAAAGGGGAGGATGCATAGAGGAAGGGGAACTACATTGGGGCGGATGCACAGATAAGAGGGAATCACAGCAGGCTGAGGTGACATGCTATAGGGAATGGGGGGCACAGACAGCCCCGAACAGAGGGAGTGTGGGTTGGGGAGGACGCCCAGTCGTGCAGGAGGGGACTAGCAGACCATGTGAGGAGGGGACTGGCAGACACAGTGACCAGACGTCCCGATTTTATAGGGACAGTCCCAATAGTTGGGGCTTTTTCTTATATAGGCCCCTATTACCCGCATCCCCATCCTGATTGTTCACACTTGCTGTCTGGTCACCCTACAGAGGGCGGAGCTGGGCACAGGCACGGGGCCCTGGCCGAGCTGGGGGCGCAGGGGACGCTGCTGCTGCGAGAGGGGTGGGCCGGGCTGTCCGAGGGCTGCTGGCCGCGGGCTCGGGGGCCCTTCCCGCCAAGGCAGGCAGCGAGGGGCCAGAGCCCTCAAGCTCAGGCCCTGCGTGGGGGCCGGGGAGCCTCAGTGTCCCCCTGGGTGTGCCCACAAGCGCTGTAATCACACCCCCCAGCGCGCCATTTTCTGTCTCGCCCATCTCAGCTCCCCCCCACCGCCAGGGGCCGGTGTAGCTACACCGGCGCCGCCCCGGTTTATACCCAAACTGCAAATAATAAACATTAAGAGACGGGTCAGGGTGTCTGTCCCACCCCGCTTACCTTCCTCCTGGGCGAAGCAAACCAGGACCTGCCCGGGCCGCTCCTGGATCTCGCACTCCCCCCCTCCGGATTTCTTCCCGCTCTGGAAGTAGCACAGGAGTTTCTTCTTCAGGTTCTTGGGGAGCCCCGAGCCCCCCCAGTCCCCCTCCACCAGCAGCGGGAAGGGGCACTTCGCCTCCCCGGCCATGACCAGCTAGTTCTGAGCGGCAGACTGGCCACGGGAGTGTATCTACCGCCCTGAAAAACGCCCCGGTTGCTGTGCTTTCACTTTCATTTCCCGGAAAGCGCCTCCCAGAGTTTCTTTTCTGTAACGTGACCCAGGCCTGACTCTGAGCTAGGAAAGTGGGGAAGGGGCAGGCACTAGCTTTGCACGTGCAGCACCTCGACCACCCCCCTCGCAGGGTGCCATGACCCAAAGTGGGGAGGTTTATCTGGGGCACCCTGCAAGCCTTCAGTCTCACCCCCGGGCACACCCCCTCCTCTGCCAGCGCAGCCCTACATGCATCTGGACAAAAAAAGCACAACAAAGATAAAGCAGCATGTAACGATGCTGGCTTTGGTGGGACCCAACTGGGAGTACCAATTCAGGACAAATTGCTGAGAGCGGAGCAGTTACAACCCAAGGCTGGGGTTTCTTTGCACACCAAGGCAAACCAAACCAGCCAGAGAGGACCTTGGTTTTACCCCACTGGCTAACCATAAGTCACACAAGCAATTCCCTTAGACACTCCAGTTTCCCAGTATCACCACCAGTGCCATTTGTTATGGGGATGAATGGTTATGAAAGCCAATGCCCCAGTAAAATAAAAAAGGTTCTTCCGATCCCAAAGGACCAAGTCCCAGACCCAGGTATATACAAATCAGATCTTACTCACAAATCATGCTGTTGCCAATCCTTTAGAATCTAAAATCTAAAGGTTTATTCACAAAAGGAAAAAGATATAGATGAGAGCTAGAATTGGTTAAATGGAATCAATTACATACAGTAATGGCAAAGTTCTTGGTTCAGACTTGTAGCAGTGATGGAATAAGCTGCATGTTTAAATCAAGTCTCTGGAGTACATCCATGGCAGGGATGGGTCATTCAGTCCTTTGTTCAGAGCTTCAGTTTGTAGCAAAGTTCCTCCAGAGGCAAGAAGCAGGATTGAAGACCAAATGGAGGAGTTTTCAGGGCCTTTTATATCCTCTGCCCTGTGGAAGATCATAGCAGGAAGATGGAGCGTGGAGTCACATAGGCAAGCCACATGTCCATGCATGACTCAGTTCTTTACAGGGCAATGCCATTGTTTTAGGGTTACCATATTTCAGCGAGCAAAAAAGAGGACGGGAGGAGCCCCGCCCTAGCCCCGCCCCTGCCCCTCCCACTTCCCGCCCCCCCTGACCTCCCAACCCTCCCCCCGTTCCTTGTCCCCTGACTACCCCCTCCTGGGACCCCTGCCCCTAACTGCCCCCCAGGACTATC